CGCGAGCGAGGAGACAAATGAAGTTTGTTGCGAGCTTCTGTAACGTGTCTTTGTTCGAGAAAGACCGGCAAAGCAGGTGACAGTGGAAGGGTCGGGGGGGAAAAAGAAGCAGAAAACCAAAACCGGGGAGAGGCTCGTATTAGCCGACTGTCGGCGACTTGACCCAGATATATAATTCATACACGGGAAATGACGCTAAGAGGAAAAGAAAGAAAGAAAGAAAAAAAAAAAAAAAACAACCAGAGGAGAGGACAAGTCGCGCGTATTGGCACTGCCGCTCGTCGTGTATCGCTTCTGTGTCGTCCTCGTTGACTTCCTTCCTCTAGCGGGTGAAAAGGCAGAAAAAGAGAGAGAGAGCGAGAGAGAGAGAGAGAGAGAGAGGAAAGAAGAGAACGGAAGGGCTGCAGGAGCTCGAAACCCTGAGATACAACCAATTCGCAAGCAATTTTCGTCGCGCCTCGGGCGGTCCACGAAGGCGATCTAGCACGCGGATGACGGAGAAAGAGAGCGAGGTGGAGAGCGAGAGAAAGGAGGTTGGAAAGGGGAGGGACGCGCGAAGGAAGGCATAAAGAACCGCCGTTGGAAAAAGCTCGGTCACGAACCGGGGGAATTAATATTCCAGACAAACGTGACAGATAGATCAAATCTGCATCTCACCGGGAACGCCGGTGTCAATTTCGACGGATTATCGCTGCTTGTCTCCGTTCCTCCTCGCTTCGTCCTCAATGCCAGACTTTCCTTTTTTCTTCTCTTTTTTTTTTTTTTTTTTCTTTTCACCCCCGTAACGTCACTCTCACGACGTGTCCTCGCTTCCTCCCGTCGGGAAACACAGTCGCTGCCGGATAATCTTTCTCTCGTCTCGAGTATTGGCTTGGCAGTTGCTAAACGTTTGAAAATGAAATTTTCGCCGAAAGAAACGAAATAAAGGGCAGATCGTTCAGAGTCGCGGAGGGTTGCGGCTTCGCGATGTCTTACCTGGTCGCACACTCGAGAACCCAGATCAAAAACACACACACATACACACAAACACACATAGGGTGATGTCGCGCGTCAACCAGTCCGCTCACGTTTCACGCACATTGTCGCACGAATTCACACGTACGCGCGTGCTCGCGTGCGCGCTCGTGCAGCATTGGCTCGTGCGGACCACGTGGCCAAACAATAGGACGATTCTAATTGGGCTTTCGGACGTGGCCGGTCGATGAAAAAAAAAAAAAAAAAGCTGGACAAAAAAGGCGACGAAAGGGGCTTATCCGGGAGAACAAGCTGAACGCGGACGTAGACTCGGGGGTTGAAACGGCAGCAGCAGCGGCAGAATTGGGGGGGGGGGAGGGGGGTTAACTCTCATTCTCTTCCGCGTACCTAGCGGAAAAGAGGGGGGCTGTTTCACGGACCGTGATGAAATTTTAAAGAGACACACCGGTGCGCGCGCTCGCTCGCGCCGGATCAACAAGCTGTTGCGTAATTACGATCGTTTGCATTAATCAAAAAACCCGACGACCGCCGAATGGTTTGACCGCGAATGGAGAATCGACCGTTCGAGTGTGAAAAATCTTCGAACAGGGGAGGGGTGAACGGCGAAGCCGTGAACGAACGGTTGAAATTTTCTTAAAATAACAGCGTCTTCTAACCACTTGCGGACCGTAACGAGCGACCGAACCGTACACAATAATTTCGTCGCTTTCCATTTTCAACTATTTTCACTTAAATATATAATTTTACTTATTACAACATGTTATGCTGTGATGTATAACGTACAATATGTTATAGCATAATCTGTGTTATGCCTAATATAACCTATATTCTAGTTAAATACATTGACATTTAGTGTGTTTACTGTTAAATTATATTACAGATTAAAGCTGTAATAACTTTTTAAGTAGAATAAAATTTTCTACAGTGTCAGGAAACGACGTTACTTGTAGCCTATCCTTAGCCACGTTGCGCTGGCGACTGATTGCGGACCATAACGAGTGACCAAACCGTATACGATAACTCGTCGCTTTTATTTTAAACTCGTCGGTACGATATCACTGGACAGAAATTATTCAGAATAAATTTATTATTTATTTCGCCTGGGTTAGGTACTTAAAACATACTTGAAACTGAGAAAATATTGCAATTTTGGGACAACAAGCAAGAGGTTAAGCATCAGCGTCGTCAGCCGGAGGGAGTTAGGTTAAGATGTTAATACTTTTAATTATATAATAATAATTATATTATATTATAATAATATAATATGCATAATGTTATACATGTTATATTATAATAATTTTAATAACGTGATGTTGGTTCGACGATTTAATAAGAGTGAGTTATACAATGTACAATTATCGTTGGAATTTTCAATAGTAGAGATGGTAAAAGACAATGTATTATGCATTCGAGTAAATAGTTATCGCATCTTAGTGGTTGATTAATAACCTTAACGAGCGTAGACACAACGGTTATACAAAGGATTCTCGAATACGCTTGACACCGTCTCCTGCAAGATTTTTCGAGCATAACTGCTCTAGGGGTGAATTAGTGATAACGAGCATGCACAACTGCGATTCATTTATTCCGTCATTCGCATCGTGAAATTGTAATCGTTCGCGTGGTTAATTGGTATCGTTGGGTCATAAGGTCATACCGCCAATAATAATTCATGCCAACCTCGGATCAAGTTACTCAATTACTCAGCACGAAAGAAAAAAGGATATCAACGATCGTAAAATATATATTTTAAGTAACCTATAATTCGCGGAATCGTTCGAAACTTGAGCAGTTCGATCGGTGGTAATCGTTTTAATCGAAGAAGCATTATTCCGTGGAAAAATCCTCTTTCTCTCTCTCTCTCTCGTTCACGCTTAATCGTCGCTTTTCGAACGGGACACAATTAAGACGGGACGATTCTTAAGGAACCAGGCCGCCCTCGGGATCATTCCGGGGCGAGCGTGATAATGTTTGCAAAAGCGAAAACACGCTAATTGTAAGAAGGAGAGCGGAGGAACGACCAGCGAATCTCATTGAATATCATCGTCCGGGAACCTTCTTTTCTCTCTCTCTCTCTCTCTCTCTCTCTCTCTCTCTCTCTCGTCTCCACCCTCTGTCTTTATTTCTGCGATGCAAAACAGCCGGCCGCGGCAATTTGCACAGGTAAGCACCGAGTTAAGAATCTCAAAGGCTGTGCTTTCAATTCATCAGGGGCGTCGGGCCGCATGAATTTCGTTCGAGGTCGTGGCCGTGTCTTTGAAGTTAATCGGAGTAAACCGTCGATTCCTCTCCGCGAGTGGGTACGAAATTAAACCCCCCCCTTCTCTCTCTCTCTCACTTTATATATCACTGTCATCCCGTTGATTCTCGAAGAACTCGGAAAACTGGCAAGAAATTGACACACGGCTAAAATTTGAGTCGAGCACGATCGTAGTCCGAGTTTGAAAATTTGAGAGAATTTTCGATCGATTCCCAACAGCTGGGAATATCAATTTCCAGCCGTGTCGATTCGGTAAAAATATATCGCCCGGGGAGCAAACTGTCAACCGTCGAACGCTTGATCTATCTGTCATCTGCGCAGTGAAATTCTGGTTTCGGATTCGTTTTCGGTCGAGGGGGGCGAGAAAGAAAGAAAGAAAGAAAGAAAGAAAGAAAGAAAGAAAGACAGAGGAAAAGGGAGTTTTTAAAGTACAGTTACCGGCTGCCATGTGATGTCGATCGTGGTTCAACGAGCACGGACAATGCCGCGGTAGATTCGATTTTTGAATTTAAAGAGCCCGCTCGGGAGACTGGGGTGAACCTGCCCCCATGGCCTCTCCTCCTACCCCATCGTGGCCTTTCTCTATCGGAGGCCGCATTGTCGAAGGGTTCAACGTGCGAATGTCCACTGTTGCGCTGGTTTCCGCGTCCACCGACCAAATAATCGTAATCAATTTCACTTTCGAAACTCGCCATTTCGATTCTGGTTTCGAGTGGTTTTACGCTCGCCAATCGGCGGAGAGTTGGGGAGGATTTCCAGGATCGTTAAAGTACAAACGATGAAAAAATCCCAGAGCTCGACTTTCTTTTCTTTCCTTTGGGCAAAAATTGCCCACTCGGGGAGTTGCCAGTTTCGAGAAATTGTAAAATTATCTTTTCAATCGAAGCGTGGCGTAGCGTTGTTAGACGAAACAGGATACTGGAAATAGTTTGCCACTTATTTCCCTATCGAGAATGCCGACGTTCCAAGTCGCTCTGCATAGAGCACGGAGCGAGATAGCATTTGTTGCCGGAACACTCGCGTTTTATTTATAGATGCTACCTTGACTCCGGGAGAACTCGGCGCAGAACTCGAAGCGGAGTGTATGAAAACATCGCCGGGGCATCTTTAGCAACACGTGCCTACGTCACGAATGTCAGCTCGGCTTTTGTTCGTGAAACGTTTGTAACTTTCTAAATCGTGCGTTAAATTGTCACAATTCTCATTTGTGCGAAATCCAGTCCCCGCTCAGAGCTAAATAGCTCATTGAACACGTTCGGTACTGGGCCAATTTTTGGTTACTTTTGGTCACTTGGGCCATTAGGATTAATAGTTTTGCTTCTAAGGTGTGTCTTACAATTTTTATAACAGTAAAAACTATAATTATGAAGAAAACTGTCCAGAGTTTAAGTTTACATGCATTACATTTAATTTTAATTTCAAGTATTTAACAATTTTTTAATCACGTCAAAATTATATAATTTAAATATAATAATAATATAATTATACAATTTAAAATGAGAGATTTCGTTCCAAATATTTTTAGTATTATTACGTGCCAAGTGATAATAAATAATATTGAATTTACTATATAAGTTGTATACAATAATACTAAACACGTGAGATCCTTCTAACAAAGTTTCCACAGCGTCTTCTGAACCACCACAATACGATATAAACGCCAAGTTATTTTACAACAAACTTGCTTGAACCTTTACAACGAAATGGCTTGAACGAGTCGTGTTAATATATTTGCAAATCTGAGGAGGTGGAGGAACGTACTCACCAGAATTCACTGTGTTAGTATCCGCGTCGACAGATTCGGTCTTCTGTTTTTTCGGCAGGTCCTCCTTGTCCTCGTCAGAGGCTTCTGTCCGTCTCTTGGGCGTCGAGCTGGCGCTCGCCTTCAGCTCGATCGGGCTTCCGCTATCGGGGCCGGAGCCCTGGGGCGTCGGAGGGCTCTCCAGCCTGCCTCCCCCCCTCTTGTTGATGGGCGCCGAGATGCTCGGCACCGAGTTCAACTTGGAGTCCTGGTCGACCGTCTTTAAGGCGAGCGCGTCCTCCGGGTCGGAATCCTCCGGAGCTGCGGTCGCCGGTGGACTGTGACAGCCCTGTAGAGTGCTGCGACAGTGGTTCACCTTGTGCTCGATGAACCGCACGATCTCGCCAAGGGGGTACGACACCCTGCATGCCCCGCATTGGACGGTGTCTGGGGATGTGGTGCCTTGCGAGGTTTCCGCTGGAAAATCACAATATTTCACATCTTTCAGTCTCTTTCCTTTCTTTTTCTTTTTT